TCTTTGTGTGAACATTTGGGCGGTGTTATGCAAATCTTCCCAGATCGTGATGTAGATATGTGGGGGCGTGTTAGAACGAGCCGTTTTAGGTAGGCGTGGTTAACTCTTAACTTTTATAAAGAACATCTCTTTGGATTTGAGACTTTAGTCTTTGCAACTTTACAGATCTTCTTTATGCACCAAGACCTTGTAACACTCCAAAGAGAAAGGAAAAATTGAAATCGCATCATATGACCCCTTGAAGAAAAGTTAAAGATAATTCTCAAGCTGAGGGAAGCATGGCAATCTTGTCACCTGTGGCAAAAAAGTTGAGCTGTATTTACCAGCGGGTTTGACTTTTCAAATGCAGTAATCATTCACCCTGCGACGGACAGCTACCATTCAGCGCACATTCAACAGTAATGACCTCTCTCTGTATCTCGCTCAGAGGACATGCTGTGTGACTTACTGGCTTAATGGAGATTTTTGTTGTGTTTGTCTTGACTCATGAGAGACTATGAAGTACGAGGAATTTGAGCGCAAATGTGAAAGTCTGAAACATACTGATAACTCTCCATAGAGGGCACACAAGCGCATCAACATATATAAAAATAAAAATATGGAACAGACAGCAAAGAAAGTACAAAAGATAAAATTATAAATGGATATATTATATATTTTAAAATATATATGTCATTGTAAATTTTAGTATGCTTACATGTGAGTGAGGTTAGTTAGGGGTCGGAACATCCTGATGCTGATGTTGGGAATCTCTACCTCTTCCATACTCCTGCACACAGAATAGACAGATGCACATTTTACCTTCATCGGGTGTTTTTTTATACAGAATAAAAGTACATTTTCAAAGCCAATAAAACAAAGAATGGTAGGCCAGAAAAGCCAGCTGAATAATTACTGGCATAATTCCCAGAAAAATATCAATGAATGCAGATACAGGAACAAACAAAAAGGCTCATCTACATATGTGGACTGCAAAACAACATTCACTGCGATTTGCCTAAAGTCAAGATAATTAGCTTTTATATGTTATTTATTTATTTCCTGTGCCCAATTCTCTCTCTGGTTGTTAATAACACACAATCAACCAGAAATAATTTTTCTATTTTTTTTTTCCGACCAGGGGCAATATTTACCCTAAAACTGATTTTCAGGTGCAGTTTTACCTCTGTAATGGTATTTTTTTAAACCATATTAAAACAGAGCATGCCATTCACTTACATCAAAAACTTAAAACACATACTAAACTTGACAGTCCTAAACTACAATATAATTAAATATAGTGTAATATCAGTATAGAATACAACATGAAAGACTAAAAAAATGAGGAATTCAGGGGAATTTTTTCTATTGCTTTTTCTGATAAAGCCTTGCTAATTTCTGACCATGTTCAGCAGAACTCACTGGGGTTGGCTGAACTCACTCTTGGTTGTTGCACCTAGAAAGTAATGAGACTTACTTTTGTTTTGCTTTTGTTTAATGTCCTGCTACTCAGATTTTTCTGCTGAGATCCTCATAATCTGATATGTGACTCTTCCAAAGTTTCAGAAGAGATCCAATTTATATTACAGCTCTAATTTGACTTTGTCAACAATTGTTTAATTTGGTTCTTTTTTTTTCACCTAAGGATTTTAGGTGTCTCCTGGTTCTCTAAGCACGAAACATGCCTGGGGCTATAATTGGCTGAAAGAAAAGAATTTCCAGAAACAACATATGATGTCGATCCAGGAATATGTCCTACTTCTGTAAATCACGTGGTGCAGGTCTACAGAGCTCAAACAGCAGAAGTGTGAAGACAACACTGAGCTACTTCACTCCAAGACACTGTGGAAAATGCAAGGATCATTGACAGCCCCTGAAGGCTTGTTAAACCTGCAAGTTCTTTATTAAAACAGGCACAAAGTAACCTAACTTTTACCCATTCTTCGAAACCCTACCCTTAAAATGAAACCCATCATTTAAGATTAAAATAATGTGTTTGTAACCATAATTGACTGCCTAATCAGAGCCTGTATAAAGAACTCATTCACTGTGACTTTAGATATTTAATTATTCTCTGATTAACAGTCTGTGCTTGATCACATGCTGAGACCAGTTGTCATGTATCGAACGTGAAGAGCATGTAAATATGATGTGGATTTCTACATACATTGTGCACACACATGAATAAATACAAGATCTCCCCTACTACACATCATCAGTATAATAACTTAAATGATGTTGTGTTTACTCACAGTGACTGCAGATTCACCAGACTGTCAAATTGATTGTCGTATATGTGTGTCTACAGCTCTAATTTTACTTTGTCAACAATTGTTTAATTTGGTTCTTTTTTTTTCACCTAAGGATTTTAGGTGTCTCCTGGTCCTCTAAGCACGAAACATGCCTGGGGCTATAATTGGCTGAAAGAAAAGAATTTCCAGAAACAACATATGATGTCGATCCAGGAATATGTCCTACTTCTGTAAATCACGTGGTGCAGGTCTACAGAGCTCAAACAGCAGAAGTGTGAAGACAACACTGAGCTACTTCACTCCAAGACACTGTGGAAAATGCAAGGATCATTGACAGCCCCTGAAGGCTTGTTAAACCTGCAAGTTCTTTATTAAAACAGGCACAAAGTAACCTAACTTTTACCCATTCTTCGAAACCCTACCCTTAAAATGAAACCCATCATTTAAGATTAAAATAATGTGTTTGTAACCATAATTGACTGCCTAATCAGAGCCTGTATAAAGAACTCATTCACTGTGACTTTAGATATTTAATTATTCTCTGATTAACAGTCTGTGCTTGATCACATGCTGAGACCAGTTGTCATGTATCGAACGTGAAGAGCATGTAAATATGATGTGGATTTCTACATACATTGTGCACACACATGAATAAATACAAGATCTCCCCTACTACACATCATCAGTATAATAACTTAAATGATGTTGTGTTTACTCACAGTGACTGCAGATTCACCAGACTGTCAAATTGATTGTCGTATATGTGTGTCAGGGGATTGTTGGAAATATTTCTGAAACCGACACACAAATAGTAAAATAGTTATCGATGAAGTCCACACTTTGCTTCGGTGATTCATAAGGCCTGTCACTTCATCTGACGTGGCTTTCAATCAATCAATGAATCATTTATTGTGCCACTGAGAAATCTCTATAAAAATATGGTTTAACATTTAAGCTTGGAACAAGAACTTATAAACAACACCATTTGCAACAGAAAGAAGAAAAAAAAGTGCAGAATGTGGCTCTCACAGCTGTTTGAGGTTCTGGAGGTTCTGGAACAGAGATGGAGGCAGGTCTTTGATCTGGTTCATAGACACGTCTCTGTAAATCAAGTCAAAGCAAGTTCAGCGGCTCATTTTTCAACTTAATCATTCTTAAACTAAAAAGAATATCTTCAAATTGAAGCTCTGTTCCAAGGTTTGTGCTTATCAGGATTATTTGAGCAGGTGTCTCTCTTTTTGTCTCACAAATCTCAGCAGAGATTTGTTAAAGAGGATAGATCTATGGTGGACCAGTAGAGCACAACACAACAAAATCTCCACAACACAACACATAGGACTAATTTTGTTGTGTTGTGCTAATTTTGTTGTATTGCGGCTTGTTTCCGTTGTTTTGTGCTAATCTCGTTGTGTTGTGGCTTGTTTCCGTTGTGTTGCGACTTGTTTCCATTGTGTTGTGACTTGTTTCCGTTGTTTTGCGACTTGTTTTCGTTGTGTTGTACTAATTTCGTTGTGTTGTGCTAATTTCGTTGTGTAGCGGCTTGTTTCCTTTATGTTGAGACTTGTTACGTTGTGTTGCAACTTGTTTCCATTGTGTTGTGGCTTGTTTCCATTGTGTTGCGACTTGTTTCTGTTGTGTTGCGGCTTGTTTCCACTGTGTTGCGATTTGTTTTTAATGTGTTGCGGCTTGTTTCCGTTGTGCTAATTTCATTGTGTTGCGTCTTGTTTCCGTTGTGTTGCGACTTGTTTCCTTTGAGTTGCGATTTGTTTTCAATGTGTTGCGGCTTGTTTCCGTTGTGTCGTGCTAATTTCATTGTGTTGCGTCTTGTTTCCGTTGTGTTGCGGCTTGTTTCCGTTGTGTTGCGACATGTTTCCTTCCACCGTATAGTTCACCTAGAAATGAACATTTATTCACCCACATGTTGTTTCAAACCTGTATGACTTTCTTTCTTCCGTAGAAGACAGGAAAAGATGTGCTGAAGAATGTAGTTTTTTTTTCTATTTAACAAAAACACATCCAGACCAGGGAAAATGAAAGGGAAAAAGTGCTTCACAGACTAAACATGTGCACTATATTCCAAGACTTCCAAAGCCATATGACTGCTTTGTAAGAAAGAGCAAAACGTAACTTATTAACTCTAACTCTTAGCCTTGACCTTAGCTGTGAATATATACAAACTTTTGCCCTTTTCTGCTTTTCATTTCTATACGCTTTTGAGTATGGGAGAAAGCCATGTAAACATTTTTCATCCCTTTTTTCTGTTCCGGAGAAGAAAGAAAGAAATACGGGTTTGGAACAACATAAGGGAAAGTAAATGAGAACAAGAGCCAGATTTTTCATTTTAAGGTGAACTAACCCTTAAAAGGCTCATAAATACAATCTCTTTCTTTCTCTCCAGCGCACACATTTTATATAAGCAATGAACTGAAAAAATGATGACAAAAAATTTAATCTAGGGACTCCGAAAAAATTAATGCCTCCATTTACTTGTGTGCATGTGTTTGTGTGTATACTCACAGGTCTATCAATCTTTGCATGTCTGCAAATGTTCCCTCCTCAATGGTGCCGATGCGATTTCTCCTCAATGCTCTAAACCAGAAAAAGACATATATGTTGTAGCACTGCCTCAAAAATATACCCCAATTCACCAAGGCCTTCAGTGCCGCAGAATGAAGTCATATACATCTATATGTAAATCAGCTCTTCCTATTTGCTGGGTCTTTAAGAGAGTCTGAAGATCACACTTAAGAACTATCCATCTGAGTCATGCTTCCAGGAACTATCGCAAACATTTTCCATAATGCTTGAGCACACAAGGACACACTGACAGTCCCAGATTAGGTCTGAAAAGCACTGGACGTATCAAAAGACATGAAATATTTACATATTTGAAGAAATCTGGCCTGTGTTGATAACTAAAACAGCTTTGAATTGAGAAACAGAGTGACGGAACTGGATCAGATATCACAACAAACACACTGTCACTTCAGTCGATGTAAGATTCAGTAATATACCGTACGAGTAGAAGAGAGAATTCAGCCTCTCAGATGCTGGAATATTAAGTTCAGTTCACTTCAGTGAAATGTATATTTTCATCCTGAGTGTTTCTTTAACTATTGTATAAGCACTTTTGGGCTTGTGGCAAACACTCACATTAATTTATTTGTCAACTAATAAAAGTTCAACATGCATGCATTAAAGTAAAATTAAGTAATTTATGGCATATTTTCTGCATATGTCTCAGATTATGTGAAATCTATATACACAATAGATTCTGCATTCTGTGGTGGAAGTGAAATTATTTTGAGGAACACAGTAGCATTTTCACACTTTTTTGTATAATTGTAATATAGGACATAAGTCATACTCTGTTTGCACACAGGTCTTACTTTGTTTTAATTCATTATCATAATTTTCTAGATTTTCATCGTTTAAGATTGAACTCCTGTGCCTGGGGTAAAACAGCCAAATATATAATTAAAAGGAAATAAAAAAACAGCTGAAATAAATAATGAAGTATTAAAATTTGTTAGTTTTAATTAAAAACAACTTCTGGGACATAAAAGTGCCTGTAGTTGAAGATGTGGTCATGATGCTGCAGGCTTGGTCCCTCAGGACAGACTGTCCTTCAAATGTCACTGACAGATCAAATCAAAGGCCTTACACCACTGCACTAGATATTCGTGATGCATATCAACATGTACATCTAAAACATGAGTAATTATTGTAATTTATTCACTTCCGATGTCTTTAATCTACTTGGGTCTATTCAGTTCAACCTAAATCTGCATTTATTTGTAAGTGTTTCCAGCCGAGCTGAGAGACGCCATTTTTGATATTATTCTTAGCCAACTGGATGTTTTAGTGGATGTATAAAGTCAATTCCCTCTAGACAAGACCTGAGCAGAGTATCCAGGTGTAGTTTATCACAATAACTAGAACCATGGTCCACTAATGTTCAACAACCGGAAAGTGTCCTTTTTTTTAAATCGGTATCTACATTAATAGTACATCTATTGTTAGAAACGGGTAAATTCCGACTTTGCTATGACAATGTGGTGCTTCTGAATCAGCCACTGTAAGTATGTTTTGTTATTAGTTTAAGTATTTGCTATTGACTGTTCAAATGCGGA